ACTCCCAGTAACAGTAACATGTGGGGACACTTGAAAAAACATACATGCTGATTCCAGGTTTCCTTGATTTCTGGAAAACTAATATTCAGAGAAATCCAACAATTGTTTTTTTTTTTTTTCTTTTTTAAAGATTTGTGGCATATTAACTGCTTTATAATGAACAGAAAACATTTCTGAGTTCTTGTAGTCAGATTTTTTTGCGTTGTTTTAAGGTTTAGGACTTTATTTGCTTTTAAAAAACTTCCCACTTTGAGTTAAAATGTGACAGGAGAAAAAAAAAAAACACCCAGAAACTGCTTAGCGTTCAGAGGGTTAATATAAATTCACATGTCATTGCAAACATAAGACAAAGTAGCACACTGTAAGTTATAAAATCCCCCATTTTTATTTGGTTGAATTCCATAATACCTCATTTACACATCGTCCACAGTTAACCACAACAGTTAGTGACATGCCCCCTCCCCCCCACCCAAAAAAAAACAATAAAATTAAACGTCAGCTACACAGATAAGATGTTTTCATCATGTCGTCCTACTGTTATGTTGAATTTATGATTTTTTTTGTCATCTCAAAAAGAAATACAGCAATTCTGGTAGATTGTCCAACTGGTCAACTTTTCCATTAAATGATAAGAACGCAGGTACAAAAAGATCATCTGTCTGTCTCTGGAAGAACAATAGCTCCGTGTTAACTGTATCGCATACTTTAGCATTAGCTCTAAACACAGTGTATGCAAACATGTTAGCATGGAACACCTGAGCCAGCGATTCAAAGTAAACACAAATGACTTCAACGCTCTTGATTTAATATCAAAGTTGACCACCTGCCATCCTGTATTTCTGTCACTCTAAATTTAAGTTATGGTTTTTCTATGTGACATAAATAAAAAAAATAATAATTAAAAATGTATGTACACTGTTTAATCAGTTCATAAAACCCGTCTACTAACAATAAGGAACTTTGTTGTTTTTTGTTTTTTTTTAACGTTGCTGTTTTCTGAGTTATTTACAACGATTAAAAAATACTAAATATGTCTTTCAGTGCTCCATGGACCTCATCAAGTTTCGACTAAATTGATTTAATTTGAGTGGATTTGAAGAAAAGACTAAATAAAATGAATCATGAAATGCTTTGTTTCAGTTTTGGCTATCGACAATAAAAAATTAAAAAAAAGATATAATGTTCAAGTTTGCAGACAGTTCCGCTGAGTAACACAAGCTGATATGTAATCCATCAAACACAGAGCTGGAGTTAAGCGATGGAGATATTTGTTTGAGCAGTTTGTAATTCACGAAGTGGTCCTACGTAGAGCTCTGCGTTAGTTTATTGCAGTTCACTGGGCAACACTGAAAAACTTCAGCAGCAGAGAGAAGATTTTAGAGATTTCTACCAGCGCTGACACTCTGGCCTTAACTTTTCCTGCCCTCAACTCTCACCCTGACACCAGAAAGGGACGACGTTTGTTTTAAAAATGACCTACACGCACCAGAACTCTGCCCTGGACCAAAACTCCTCACAGAACATTCACCTCCACATGCCACAAGTAAACAATGTTTAAGGTTAGATGAAGTAATATGATCTATGGCAGCAAAATGTTCCTTCCTTGACATTTTAAATAGTGCGATCTGAAGGAGTAGTTCAACATCTTAGGAAACATGGTTTGTGTTTTGTTTTGTCAGTACCACTATCATGAATAGATTAAATATTAGGCTATCAAATAAGCTTAGCTTAGAAAGACTGTAAACAGGAGGCGACAGCTAGCCCAGCTCTGTCAAAGAAGTAACAGGATCCACTGACCAACATCTACAAGCTCATTAATCAGCATCTTATAACTGTAACAATGCTGTGGGTTCACAGGGGTAACATGTTGGACTATTTATTGGCCAGAAGCAGTGAAGCAAACAAATTAACAAAACATATTCCCAGAAAATGCTGAACTGCTCCTTCAGAAATCTGTCTTCACAATTTCTATCTGTACGTTGAGCACATGAGACATTTCAGTGTCCGTTGTATCATTTCGTCAGTTTGTTCAGAGGTCGCACAAAACCTCTGCAGATTAATGCTCCATGTGATGGCCTGCTTGAATGTTCAGCGGCTTAGTTTGAGGCTCCTAGGCCCTTTGTTTCCTCAAAATACAAACCTCTACGCTGACTATACAGACAGCCACACCTTATCCATTTGTTTCGTATTAATGTAGTGTTTTTTGTTAAAATAATTGAGTCATCTTTTGACCTTTCACCCTGGATCTCACTCTTTTGTCGTGACTCTAAGGCAGATTGATCCAGACACTTGGTTAAAATCCTCACCAACAACACATTACAATTAATAATCATCATGTCTCAGCAAGTGCATTAAATCTGCCAAAGCACTTGACTGGTGAATTATTAATCATAGGAATAATGAAAGTTACAAATAGCTTTGTAGTTATTGATCAACTGCAGCAATAACACATCAGTGAAAACTGCTCACTTGACAGCAACAGAAAATCCTGAAAAGAATTCTTGAAACAATTTGTCAACTTGTAGATTAAAATGTTTTATCAATCATCAGTAAAAATGCCAAAAACTGTCTGACTGTAGCTTATTAAAAATCTGTTGTGTTCTTTGTCTTGGCACGCCAGGACTCCAAAACAAGACATCTGGGAAATCTAAATCTGGTAAACCGCATCGACCATTTCTCACCATTTTCTGAGATTAGACATACAGACATAGTGTTAAATAAAAGATGAAGCCCTAAAACTGACCATCCAGAGGACACTGCTTTAAACAATCCCTCATGATCGATGGGTGTAACCTGCTTTAGAACCTGATCAAAGGGTAAACGTTAAACTAAAGTAAGCAATCCAAAACCTGGGAAAACAAAACAAATGAAAATGTGCGTTCGATTGAGCCCACGAGTGTAAAACTCTGTTGAAGTCAAATATCTCAAGTGGCTGTGTTTGTTGTGAAAGTCAAGGTGTTGAATGAACAACACTGATCCAGATTCACTAAACAGGAAGGTTTGCAAAGGAAAGTGCTCATCACCAAAAAGTGTAGGATGAGGAAAGATGACGAGTCACGAGAGCTAAAGGCCTCAATGGAAGAGATGAAGCCTAGTTTCATCAGTCATGCTCATGAACATGTTGACATTTTGTTAAGATTATTTTCTACACAATATTGATAGGTGACGCTCCAGAGCAGTCTTGCACATGTTGGGGTGACAGCAAAAGACATCAAAAGTTTGTCTGTTCAGTCACTGCTATAAATATTCCTCAAGGCACAGCACTATCAGCATCAAGCCACTCAGCAAAGGAGCGTTTTCCATCCTGGAGACTCAAGACGGATCACTGAAAAGGATATTTATGGTGCGAAATTGCAGGAATTAATGAATCTGTCCCCCAGTTAAAATGTGAGTGCCTGGAATTCACAGTACAGGTGGTTGATTACTTGCTTAATGCTCTTTTCAAGGACTGCAAATAAATTTCCAAAACATTCTGCAAATAAAATGACATCTCAAAATGCACTCAAGCAACTGCAGCGCAATTAAATCAGAAGATTGCCTCTGCAATGCAGTGTTAGTGAATCTGGACCTGAGTTTACAGATTATCAAGGAGCTTTCAAGCTGATGCTTTCTGTCGTTTTGGATGTAAGAGGTACAATAAAAGACTTACAAGTTGAACTGAGAGAAAAGAAAATGTCAAATGGCATCAGACCCGTCTCACGAGGTGCATAGAGCCAAACACATATTATACAGTTGACTTCAACAAACAGAACCGTGGCTTACAGAGAAAATGGCATTTCCACAGACTATTGGCCCGGACCCGGTTCGTTATGGGCTGGCTGACTGGCTACATGAAGCTCTGTTACTTTGGTCTACCAATAATCTGACTGCAACACAAGAAGGAGCCTAACCACAATGTAGAACTGACAACATGTAATCAATCAACAGTCTTTTCTTGATAAAACCTTTACACTTTGTCCTCCATGTTATGGCATCTGTCCATTTTAGTCAACAGACTATGTTTGGGGGTATATTTTTTTTCAGCACACGATGACAGAAGGGCTGGTACGAGTGTGTGTTTGTATACAGGATGTGTTTAACCAGAGTCTGAATGTCTGTAAGGATCAGCAGTTCGTCCATGTGTTGTAGTGTGGGGTGTGTAACCCAGTGCTGTACAGTAGGGGGCATGCAGCCGGACAAAAACGCATGCACGTTGGGGAAGGAAGCCTCGGCTCTACTCCTCGAAGCTCTACATCTTCAGCTCCAGGTTTTGGCTCAGACTTTTAACATCAAAGCAATGAAATGTATTAGTGTATTGAATAAAAACTTTACTCAGCGAAGCAACTTCGCGCCTCCTTTGAAAGAAGAATTTTTTCTTTTCTTTTTTTTTTATCACCACACTTGGCATCAAGAGCTAGTCTGTAAGGATGAGCGCTTGAGGATGGTCATGTAACATTTAACTGAATGTTCACAGGAGGATAAAGAAGAGGGACAAAAACAAAAGTATTTAATCCTCATCTTCAAGTCTTAAAGCGTAGCTTCTGTTTTGCTGCTGGCTCCTGATGATGTGTACACGTCACAAGTAGCATCAAATTTACGACCAATCCTCATGGCTTTGTTTTTTTAAGAAGGAAACTCCAAAGCAAGTTAAAGGGGGAGAAATGTGAAAAAAAGTACTCCTGTTGGGGACAGACAGAGGGAAGCAGTAAGGTTGGGACACAGAAAAAGAACAACTTCCAGTCCTGATCTGGAAAAATAGTGAGGATCGCCTTTCCATTGTGAGTTTTCCTCCCATGTCCCCTCGTTTTCGCCATCTTCCTGCCCAGTGTCACATCCTTACTGGTTGGAATGGGATGACCAGAACAGATTAATAAGAAGTTCGAGCTCAGCCCTGGATAAGTGGACTAATATTAAGGTCACATCCAGCCCAGGTTGGACATGTGGGAAGCTGGAAGAGAGGGGACTTGTTGGAGGATGGCTAGTTGCCTTGTACTTAAGAGCTGGTCTGAATTATCCACAACAGTCTTAGCATTGCCAGCAAGTAGGTTAATCTGTACGAATACTCCTCCATAATTTGAATCCTGTGGAGGGGGCCAAGAGCATTTCATTGCCCACCTTACGGCTGTTGTTTGTAGATCAGGTGGGGTGAGGTGGGACTGGTGGGACTGAGACATGAGCCTGGGCTGGCTGGTGACTTTGGGCTGGTTGTTCTCTGGGTCGCTGGCAGCAGTCAGATGTGGCTGGATCATGATAGGGGCTTGAAAGGCTAAAGAAAGAGGAAAGTAGGAGTCAAACTGAGATAAGGAGCAGCTGTATCAGGCTAATCACAACACAAAAAGTCTGAAAGAGATACACATCGAACACATCCACAAAACGGGAACCGTTTTCACGGCAGCTTTACTGCCTCCCTACAGAAGTGGTGTAAGAAGATAAAAGACAGATATGACGTTTATCTTTTGCCTTTCCTTCCGACTGATAATGTGTAATTAAATTGCTGTTCATTCTTATCTTGTGGGCCTCAGGAAGACTAGCTGTCCCTTTGTGGAGGTTAATTATTATCCAAATCAAGGGTGGGAGTGCAAAATATTAGATTTTTGCTGATTTCAGATATGCCTTTGTTTTCCAGCTAATTTTGGTAGAATTCTGATACCAACATATGCAAATGTATAAATGAGGAAATGTATGCAAATTAGTATTTATATAATTCACACATCTGCCCAAGTCTATGAGAGTTTGCATGAACTTTACTGCAGATGTCCAGATGAAGCCCAAAATTTGCATGGAGCAGCAGTGTGCATGCATGGAATATGTAGATGGAGATCTACTGTGCATGTATGAAACACTTACAGTCTACTTTGACTCCAAGTAAAATTGCAATAACAACGTCTGTGGTGTCACCAGCTGTCCATGTGCACATCTAAAAAGTGAGTCTAATCAATGCTTAAGAAAGTCCCTCCACAAGATCTTACCTTCCTGCTTTTGGTAGTTGAGGCTCATCTACACGGTCTCGTTCCTGTTGGAGGAGACAAGGCCACTCATTTAATCATCAACACACCAAAAAAAGAAGAAAAGTAAAAGACCAGTGCATAAAAAGAGCAACATTAAGGCTCTGCTCCCTTGGTCTTTTCTTGCCAACATCTACCAACATCTCTTAACTTATCTAAAAGTTTTAGGAAACTTAACAAGTTTAGAAAATCCTTACAACAGACCTAGAAGTGAATTCAACAATGTCTTACACAAAATTATCAAAGTGACTTCTTTCTTTATACACAGCTTATGTTTTGAAGTTATAAATGAGACAAAGCAAAGCAAGATGATAATGTAATTAGAAAAGTGGCATGAAGTCCATTGTGTTTCATGAAGCAGACAAACATACTGCAGTGCTGTGTCAACTATTAACGTTCAGATTTTTTCCATTTCGGTAACTATCTATTTAATATTAGGATAAATGTTTTGTCTGAATAACAGTACAAATGTAGAATGTGTCGATGACGCATAGCCATGCTTCTTTTCTGACAGCATTTCTTACAAACAGGAGAGTCACTTAATGTGAGGCTGACATGGAGCATACGGACAGTGTGAAGAGACATGCAGGTACAAGACAGCTTGAATAACGTGATGAATGTTGTAGTAAATGTGCGTGACAGTGGTAATTGGACAGCAGGAGCAGTTTGTTATGGATGAGTGAAGAAGCAGAAGCCACGTACAGCTGACATGCAACACCGAGGGTGAAGATGGCTTCTCATACAAGACAAAACGCATGGATGACGACGTGACACATAAATTAGACGAGGTGGCGCTTACGAGTCATTTTGACTCTGGTAAGGTCTCTCCAGGGTTTTCTTCCCCTGCTGGATTGGTCGAGGTCGGCGACTGGGGCTCAGGTGGAGGCATGGGCATAGGCAGGGGGATGGGCTTACCCTGCTCTTCTGGGCTTTCTGGACCCAGATTAGATGTGGGCTGGCCTATGATTACTGTGTTACCTGTTGGAGTGGAGCATGAAAACACGATTCCTGAAGTATAGGTGCTTTTAAAATTCACTCGTAACCAAATGCCTTGGGTTGGTTTGATTGTGAACATCAGAAAACATGAAGCTGGAAAAATCTACTGCATTGCTTCTGGATTTAAAGTGAGACTAAATTATACAATCTCCTTCTTACAAATAAAAAGTTTAATTCGAAAGCAGTAAAATAACTGTGACTCAATTTAATGCTCTGTGGGTTTTTGCTGCTGCAGCCTCACTTCATCTGTCCAGTAGTTTATGGTAGCTAATAATAGCAAATTTGCAGAGGGACAATATGTAAATGCTGTCGTGACACCTCCTGAGATACTGCTAAAGTGCATTTTAGAATTTCCATTTACACAGGAGTTGTTACTTTGCTTGTTGTTCAGTCTAAATTACATAACTTCCCAAGAAGGTACTAAAGTGGCATCATGCAGCGGGTTTGCAGCCTCAGGTTTCTGTTATTTTTCGATTAAAGCAACATCCTTAGTTTACATGTCACCCTCAACTTCTTCTTACCGTGTTTCCCATCTGTCCCTATGATCGACTAGACTGATTATGACATAATCACCTGATCACACTGAGCTGACCGCAGTCATTTTGTATCATTGTTACAATCATTACTTGTATACAATAAACAGCTGAAAGAAACTCACACAAATGTCATATTTCACTCACTACCTCCACATCATTTTCTGCTTGCGCACTCTTTATATGCCACCAACTGTTTTTCTCGAGGCGCCTCACTTCCAATATTTAACCAACTGCATGAAGAATCTATTGAGATTAGCTGCATGGATTTAGTTGCAACATCAAACACCCTAGAACCACTGAGGGCACATTTCAGTTTTCTTCCAAATGAAAAAAGAAGTCCCAATAACTTGGCAGAGGCATTCTGACAGATTTGCAGCAATAAAGTGGCACTCAAATACACTCACATCATTACTTTAAACAAGTACATTTGTACTTGCAACTGTTTATATGACAATTGTCGAATAAACTTTCATGATTGTGACAGCCCTATAATCAACAAATCAAACCCAACTGCAACGGATATTTTACTTCTCAAAGTGTGTCTCTGAATGCTGCAACTACAGTGAGTCCAAGATAAAGGCTTGAGAAGCTGCCCTGCTCAAGTTGTTTATGTAAAAACAAGTAAAGTTTCTCCTCCAAAAATCCCAAAAAACAAACAAACAAAAAACACTTGTGCATTTACAACTTAACTCCAGACTCCATTAGGCACGGAGCAAGAAGAAGCAACATTATCGTCGTTTTAACTGAATTGACTGGAGTCTGTTACTTTCTGTGCACTCCTGCCCTGTCCAGCAGAAATAAATACTGTCCACGGGCATTTCCCTGTTGAGCTTTCAGTCTTGTTTAAAATAAATAAATACATTTTTAAAAAAAGCTACAAATGACCATCGCCTCCATCCTTCGGCGTGATTAAAGCCACACTCCCTTTTTTCCACTCTTTTATTTGTTGTCAGGGCTATTAGTCTCTAGGCTCTGCTCACTTCTTTTCTCACTGCATGCATTAACACTTCTGAATAGTGTCTGAACAACAACTTCAGCAGTGGCCATAGATAAATTAGAGAACAAAGCAACACATTATTCACAATTTTCAACAGATTAGTCCACATAAAATAAACCTATTAGGGTGAGGGAAAAATGTGACAATTTTTAACCATGAATAATTGCCCCCATCGTAATGTTGAACAGAACGTGTTTATACATCACAGCTAAAGGATCTTGTACTCACATTCTGCCTAAGCGAATCGACAGCATGAATTTATGTAAAAGTTACTTAGATAAAAAGCAGTGGGTCATTTTTGTGCCTCCTAGATGAACAGAACCTTAGTAAGAGTTAACCACAAAGAAAAACAAAGCAATTTTGTACACATCTACACAAAAAGACAAAAAACGCAAAATGTCAATATTTGTTTATAAAATCATAACAGCAGTTCTTAAGTTAAACTATAACTCTGATCAGTCACTCACCTCCATCCTGCTCTGCTTTGATTTGGGCCTCCAGGTCTTCGGGGTCGACATACTGGTAGTTTTCATCGTCATCAGGCGGCTTGCACTTCCCACAGCAGAAACAACAGCAGCAGCAACAGCAGCAGCAGGTGAAAAATGTACAGCACACCACCAGACCCTGCAAGGATTAGCACGCAAACAGATTTTTAGCCATATGACGGGAGGAACTAACAGAACTTTAATCTTTATCCAAATCACTGACAGCAGGGAGGATTTTATTCAATCTTTTCAAAAAGGTCAGAGATGTAATTTTGCACAGTCAGTAGTACTGGCACTGGTTCTGACACAAGAATGAAATTTTCATTTAAAAGTCCACATAGAATAAATGCAAAAAAAGGACACAAACCTTAAACCACCATTTGGACATGAGGAAGTAGTATTTGACGCTTTCCTCTCCGAACTGTTCGGACACATAAAGGCCCATGGAGCCATACTCATCATAAATCTTCCTCTTGGTCTCATCATTTAAAATAGAGTTGGCGTTGTTGATCTCCTTAAACTTCTCTGCAGCCTCCGGGTTATCTGGGTTCTTGTCCGGGTGGTACTTTAATGCTAGTTTTCTGACAGGAGAGAAGGGAAATTGGACAAAACAAAATTAAGCCGATAGAAATAATTTAATTTTATAATTTTAGAACTTCAAGGATGAAGTCTGAAGAGAAAAAAAATGTCCTACGTGGTAAAGTTCCTCCATGACCTCAAACCTAGAATGTCTAGGTTGTAAACATTACAGGGCCTATACCACCCTCCATGATTGTAGTTTCCACCTCTTATGACCAGCCTTACTGTCGTCATAATATATTATAGATCAGTTTCTATGCAGAACGGAAGCAAATAATCATTTTGATGGCATTTCTTTAGGGCCTACAAGAAATTTTGATAGCCAGGTTCACAATTTATGTGACACTTTTTAGTCCAAACAAGTGACCAACCAATGGAGGAAATGATCATCAGAATAGTCACAACACTAATTACAAGACTAAATAATTGAAGTCATTTACCAAGAAAAAGTGCCAAACTAGGTGGCGCCAGCTTCTAAAATAGAAAGGTTTGCTGTTTGTGTCTGTTTAATAACATTGTTTGTGGGAAATCATTCAGCTTTGAACTGTATTTAATTAGTGTCTACATTTGAAGGTTATCCAGATTGACAGAACATTTGAAAAGATTAATCAAATAATAAAAATAATCATTAGCTGCTCATTAACAAATGCTTTCATGTCACCTTGGCTGCGTTTGCATTTTCTAAATAGTACTTGAGTCATGCAGTAATTAATTTATGAGAATGAATTTCTCAACATCGTCAGGACTACGATTACACAAATTTAAGATAACAGTTAAGAAAAGACCAAAAGTAATAATTGCAGTGTGGATAGTCAGTCTTCTCTGGAGAAGCTAATCCTTTCTAAAGAAGCAATTGAGACCATTTTAAAAGTGGAGCAATAACTCAGATTACTCAAGTATCAGACAGCTCACCTGTATGCTTTCTTAATGTCCTCTGCTGACGCTCCTTTTTCCAACCCTAGCACCTTGTACACACTCTCCCCAGCGGTGGACATCTTCCTTTGGGGACGGGAGTTGTTCGGTTCAGCCATGGCTCACCTCTGTTAAAGGGAAAAAAAAGAAAAAACAAAACCCTTCATCAAAATTTTTGGAATATGATGATGCATGACGGTTTTAATATAGTAGCCTATTGCCACGTTGCAAGAGTCTAAGCACTCTACACCCACAAGTGCAACAGCAACCAGCAGTCTAGTTTATGCAGATTTAGTCATCTAGTACAGTCAATAGAGATTCAGAAATATACAGTGAAGGATGTCAGGGTGCTGTATGTAAAAGTCAAAGATAAAAATGAAGCAATCAGCAATTTCTGTAGTAATTAACAAAAAAGTACACAGCAAAAAATTTAAAGGAGTTATACAAAAAAGTTTAATACAACACATTCTGAATTCCAAGTCAACTAATAGTTAAATGCCAGCACACTGTCGATATACCAGAACCTGAGGAGCCTGAGAAGTGTACTATGAGGCAAGTTGGACACAGCCAAGCTTTCTTTGTGTAAGCTGGCTCTACAAAACCTAAAACCCCAGACAGAGAGAGCAGGTATCATGATGGTGGTCATCAGCTCTTTGATAACCCATGCTTTTTTTCTTCTTCTTTTTTTCTTCTATTCACGCTTCTTCAAAACCAAATGCATACAGGTGCCTATGACACAGTGATGCATACAGTTTGACTACTGTACTTGTGTGGCTACATTCAATGGGATTACGAACGCACAGCTCGACAGGTTTGTAGGTATATTCCCTCAGTTGAAGAATCTGTATCACAGAGAATCTGCAGGCAATGAAATAGTGAAAGGGTGGCACTTCTTACAGGCAATTTAAATCCAAAACTCTGAACAGAACGTCCTCTGGAACAGGTTAGCTATGCAGCATCAGTTATGATTGTGTTTTAGCAGGTTAATAGAGAGCCACCTTTGTGACATTAAGTTCAACGTGCCCCACTAGCCTGTTCATCTTGCTATGTAGCCAAGTAGTTAAACGTAACAACACATGCCACACAATCACAGCATACCCAGTTTGATCTGTATTGAGGTTTTCAGCATGTAAGTACTCTCACTTTCCACTTGTTTCCTATCTGCCTCTTTACTGTCAACGGTCAAGGTAAGAAAAGAAAAGAAACAGAAATCTCCCCAAACTTCACTGTTTTGGTTCACTCTCACGTCTCTCATGGTGTCTCTAGTGACACTTTCACCCACAGCATGGTACAAAAAAAATCTCTAAAAATCTGCTGTACACCACCCGGTCGGCACCAGGCAGGCCCATCTGATGAACATAGTGGAGTATTTAGCAGTGAAAGTGAAAAAGATTTCCCTCAGGAGTTGATTGAAACTGAGAACAGCTATAGGAGACTAACTGACATTCACAACACTCATAATAAACACCAGTCTAAATGAAATATAATATTTCTCCAACATGTTTTTCAAATCAAGTTGATGACATGTGTATATTTTGACAACAACTTGCTCTGTTGCTCCCGACAAGACAAGAAACAAGTTACTGCAGGCTTAAAGGCGTTTAGTCCTTAGTCTCTGTGTGCATGTTCATCTTTGAAGGCAAATGCAATTATTTTTATCATCTCTATCTTCTGTATGAATGCTATTACTTTGGTGTTCTCTCGCTACAACTCTCAGCAGATCCAACTACTCCTGGTGATTCCTGGCCTGTAAGCCAACGGAAAGACCACAGGGCTCCTTTAGGAGGCTCCTAAATAAAGGCAATGCACTACAGAAATATTTGTGTGTCACAATTACACAATAGAAGAGGTATTTCTTTTAGGCTATGGCTACTGTACACACACAGACCGACTCTTACTCACCCGCATAAATAATGCCGCCAGGGTCATTGACTAAAGAAGATTACATTTTGCTGATCTCACAGATTACCCGTTCAAGTCCATGTAAAAGAGAGCCAATGTCCTGGTCAGAGTCTGGCTAGACAGCACTGCACTACACTACACACAACAGCAAACCAAACAACTGTTTAAATATCTATATTACGGCATCTACAACAATAGAGCACTACGGGTTAAAAGAGCAAAGTCAGAGGGAATACATTGTACAGCAGCCTTATCCGAAGTCAAAACACTGATTCAGCATTTCTACTGCAGCATTTCTCATTCTCAATTCGAGCTTGGGGAAAAACAGCCCAAAATATCCAATGCATCCTTGAAAGTAAATAAATAAGTACAGAAACCAACAAAACACAACGTCCAACTGCTAAGATGTTGATTCACACAGAATTATTGTTCCTGACTGGAATACGGTAAGAAATTTGTTTATGATTTTGTACTTTATGAACAAGGTAGATTTGCATAAGGATTAAACTGAGATGACCTTTGTAATTATTGCAAAACACACAGCAACCCCAGCTAATACTAGAGCCGTGTAAATGGGGCTTTGTTATGTCAGCTAAGCATTACAAAATCACAAAATCTCAACGAGTGTATTCTCATCGATCCAGACGATTTGTGCCTCGCTTCACTGAACTTAAACCAAAACATTTCTTTAGTTAGGATACACATGGTCATATTTACATAGTGCCTCATATCCTTAGCTAGGTTTAACAAAGCGCTTTACAATGCGTTTCTGAGTCACCCATTTACACACCAATGCTGTCACAACTGCCATGTACGACTCAAACCGTGCTATTCCACTGGAGCCACAGCCATCTAATGAATACCATTATTAACTGTCTTAATAATAATTTAAATTCTTGGTTAAGTAATATCAGTAGAACAGCTTGGAGATGTAATAGTGTTAGTATTAACATTGTGGGCTGTCGGGTGCAAAGGTGTACAGGAAAAATATCTACACTGTCCAGTTGTTAAGATTACACAACCTTATAATGTCTCAGTGCCTGAGATACGTTTGTTAGATCTGGTTCTTACTGGAATTTCTGCTTCAGGGAAGAGACAAAAGAGCTAAAAGGAGCCATATACGCCCCTATTTATGGTCTTGTGCAGCTTTGGTATAATAAGCTGGTGGGGGAAAGAATGGTTTAGTAGACACTATGCTCTTTTTGATGTGTGCAGTCTGTTTAATGCTGACACAATAAAGACGTTTACTTGAGACAGCTGAGGCTGAACAGTGTTTTTTCATTCTCAGAGGTACAGTGCTGTGCAAAAGTACTGAGTTAGGACACAGTAACTCAGGGAGAAATCCTGATCGTTCCAAATTCATTCTGCAGCACGACATCCAGCCCAAATAAAGAAAAATATCTCCACACCATGGAGTCAGTCTGGAATTTCATGAAGACACACCAGACCGGTACACCAGATACTGACTGGATGTTTTTCTGTTTAGTGCGCTCTCCCCAAGTTAATCAATGAATAAAAGCTATTTGTGGCAATATTTTTTGAAGCTTCTTCATTATATTTTTAGTACCTAAAACTCTTGCACAGTTGTTTATCTATAGCAGTGCTGCCACTTGGTTAGAAAACATGAAGAACATTTCATATTTTCCATAATTTATTAAGAAAGTAAAAATGTATATTCTAGACTCATTACATGTAAAGTAAAATGTTTGAAGCCTTCTTTTTTTTGGTTTCAATTTTGATGATCATGGTTCATAACGCTGGAAAAATCTGACATCCAACAAATATTAGAATATTTAGTTAGTTTGAGTAAACTTAGTCTTGGTCTTGTTCAGTTCACACAACCACAATCATGGGAAAGACTGCTGACTTGAAAGTGGTCCAGCAAACGATCATGGACACCCTCCACAAGGAGAGTCAGCCACAGAAAGTCATTGCTGAAAAGGCTGGCTGTTGGCAGAGGGCTGTAACAAAGCATATTAATAGAAAGTTGACTGGAGGAAAAAGTGTGGTAGGAAAAGATGCAGCAACAGGGATGACTGCAGCCCTGAGAGGACTGTCAAATAAAGCTGATTCATGAGCTTGGGAGTGCTTTACAAGGAGTGGACTGAAGCTGGCGTCAGTGCATCGAGAGCCACCAAGTGCAGACATTTTCAGGAAAGACGCTACAACGTTTGCATTTCTTATAACAAGACACTCCTGAACCAGTGCCAAAACTACTACCAAATAGTTGGCTGGCCGTGATATTACTGTGCTTGGCTGGCCAGCCAACTCACCTGACCTGAACCCCATAAAACCCCATATGGGTTACTGTCAAGAGAAGGATCTCGCCCAAAAATACCACCGAGCTGATGACCTCTGTCGAAACAACCCGCGCTTCGGTAACACCTCAGCAGAGCCACACACTGATCGCCTCCGTGCCACGCTGCTTTGACGCAGTAATTTATGGTAGAGAAGCCCCAACCAAGGACTGAGTGTATAAATGAACATACGTCTCAGAAGTCGGAAATTTCTGCACTAGAAATACTTGTGATTGATCTTAGGAAATATACTAATATTTGAGTTACTGGGTAGCAATAATCATCAAAATCAAAACAAAAAATGGCTTGAAATATTTCACTTTACGTGTAATGAATATTAAATATATGAAAGTGTACCTTTTTGAATGAAAATACAAAAAAATGTTTTGTGAAGTTTTAATATTTTTGAGATGCATACGTATACCTTTCAGTGAGCTATGAGCTGTTAAGTGACAGGCAAGTACTCCTCTGCAAGCAAAGCGGCCTCTCTCATGCTATCCTGTGTTCTCTTCCATCACACACACACAGCACCGGCTAAAATTAGATCCCCATCCTGAGGGTGTCTTTCAGAAGACACTTTCCGTGAATTCTGGTCAGACAGCTGATGTCTACTCTTCCTTTATTACTTAGGTACTTTAAGGTTGTCTTTGCATTTAATGAGAAACCCCCCTGAATCTAATTCTATGTCTAGTGCTGCACCGGTGAAAGAGAAAGCAGCTTTGCCCCTATTGTTTCTCATCTAATTAGTTAAGCGCTTCCTGTTGTGAAAACAAAAAATAAGCTTCATAATGCTTACATGCATCTGCAGTTGTAACAGATGGCACTAAGTCAGCACTATCTTACTCGTAGTTCTCAATACAGTCATTCAAAAAAAATCAGGTCACTTCATAGTATTTATAAAGAGAGAGAACTTCAAAAAGACTTTGAAA